ACACACACACACGACCTATCCCTGATTTTTGACAAGCATGTTTACCTTTAAGTTGGATCAAAGTCCCGTAAAATCGCCCATTGTTTTTTTTTTTTTTTTTTTTTTTCTGAATTCTACTATTTTGAATTTTTTTTTTTGAACTTTTTTAGTTGATTCCGATAAACTTTTTCAGTTTCTTAATTGATGTCCATTATATTTTTTTAGTATCCTTACGCACCCCTCAAATTTTAGTCTGTATATCTTTCATGCCCTTTCAGAAAATCTACTTATAAAAATCGGTTGTGAAGGTACACAGGACTCCACTAGAGCCTTTTAGGTCCTTTTAGTTCCAACTTCCAATAACATGGAATCCACCAAATATCATCTCAAAATACAGTTTAACGACTATCTAAGATTAATGCAAAAAAATTAAACATGCTACGTTTCTAAGCACAATCAAGTGAATAATATTGTACTTAGATCAAGATGTGAGATACTTATCTCTACTTTTGACGGTTGGAATGTCTTTACCCTTACTATCTCCTCCTACTTGGAAGTGGGCTAAAATGCATTTTGTAAACCGGTCTTAAATAACCTTCTGGTCATTGATTCAACTCAAAAATATATGGGCCTTCAACGGTCAGGGCCGAGCTTTGGTCAAGAAAATAGACCCGATCTAGCTTTTTCGGGTTTCTGGGCTAGGTTAAAAAACTGCTTGACGTGATCAAGATTTCTGATTCGGCCTAGGCCAGGACTTGGACTCAGGGGCTTATTCGCTTTTTTGGACCACGAGTTTGTTATTGAGCAATATGAATGCACCATTTATTCCAGATGAGGAGGGTAGATAAGTTATAATAAATATCAACCAACATAAGTTCATGATGCACGTTTTGTACCAAAAAAATAAATAATAGGAGACTTTGGAGGAGACCTTTATATTATAAATAACCCCCATCCACCTTCGCCTTTTAATTACCACAAAAACAAAATGAAAACAACCCTCATATTGGCCGGAATATTCTTGGTCGGAATTTGCCTCTCCTGGCCGGTTACATCTCAAAAGTGTAATTGTGCTCCGAAAGAGTGTTGTAGCAAGTACGGCTACTGTGGCACCACAGACGCTTATTGTGGAAAAGACTGTCGACGTGGCCCGTGTTCTCTACCAGCTCCTTCAAATAATGCTAATGTCCCTGGTATAGTGACATCGGCATTTTTTAATGGGATTGTTGCCAAGTCTGCAGCCAACTGTCCTGGAAGAAGTTTTTACACACGAGATGTGTTTCTTAAAGTTATCGGAGACTATCCACATTTTGGTAGATCCGGTTCAATCGAGGATTCGAAACGCGAAATTGCGGCTTTCTTCGCTCATGTGACTCATGAGACTGGATGTAAGTACGTTATTAAAGTTTTTCGATTTAAACGAACCAGCCAGTCTTGATCCAACCAAACATGACATACATTTTGGTAAAACTTATGCACCTAGTTTTTAACTTAACAAAATTTATATAAATCCAACGAAATTTGTCTTAATTGCTTTTGGGTACGTACTCATTTTAACTTGATTAATCCTAGGTTGAAAACGTGTTTACGAGGTAATATGAATATGGAATAAAAATCCGAAGATTTATTATGGAGAAAAAAAAATCATCCTTACATACTTGCATTAAATAAGAATTAATGTAAACTTTATTAAATCATGATGCATTTATTTCCATCAAAATGTCGTTAAATTTTACTTTTCGTATGGATCCACAGACTTTTGTCATATAGAAGAAATAAATGGTCCTTCAAAAGCTAGAGAATACTGCAATACGACCAACACTCGATATCCATGCAACCCAAACAAGGGTTATTATGGGAGAGGTCCGATCCAACTCTCATGGAACTACAACTATGGTGAAGCTGGAGAGAACCTCGGGTTCGATGGACTCAACAACCCTGAGATCGTGGCTAAAGATCAAGTGCTTTCATTCAAGACCGCCTTGTGGTTTTGGATGGACAAGTGTCATTGGGATTTTGCTTCTGGTAAGGGGTTTGGAGTTACAATCCAAGCCATCAACGAGAAGGAGTGCAATGGTCGGAACCCCGGTGCTGTGACCTCTCGTGTCGGGTATTACAGTGATTATTGTAACCAATTTGGTGTCCAAACTGGCACTAATCTTAGGTGCTAGACTTTGGTTATATTAATACAATGTGAAAACCGACACCTGTCTAGGCGGCTTTTATGGTTTTTCGTTGGTGAAAACCGACGCTTGCCTAGGTTACGGTATTTCATCAGCTAGACGTTATGTGTTTAAATCGTTGGTAGTAATCATTATGTGTGAAAATAAATGTTTTCATGGTCATAAATATTCTTGTATTATATTTCAAGGTTATAATAAAAAGCATTACTTTACATAGGTGGTCCTTGTAAAATGAAAATGTTGAATACTTGGTCCTTATATGTGACATCAACATATTACAACACATTTTCGATGAATTGATTTAGCGTAGGGCTAAAACCCCTACAGTGGAATCGAGTTCTTATTTGACGATTCGTGCTAGACAGAGTTGAATTTTATCGAGTTTGAATTTAAACGAAAAAGGACTCCAAAAGTAAAACATATAACAAGCTCTATGTATGTATGTGCCGATACTTTTGGGTTGAACTCGAACATTACGAGTTTGGTTTATAGAAAATAGTTATCATAGATGTTTCAAGTCAATCGAGCTCACTATATCCCACCACGAGGAGGGTTTGGAAGGTGAGATGTACTCAGTCATGACATCTATCCCAAGAGTAAAACGTCTATTTTAAACCACAAGGTGGTGTCTGATTGGTTTGAGCTTGGCTCCAAAGGTCAAAAGTACCCGGAGGTCCTAGGTTCAAATCTAAGGAGGAATAAAAATCCCCTTGTGGCCATGGAGGTTCAAATGCGGTGACTCCGTGTTATCTGCAAAGCAGACGGTCGTCCTGGGATTAGTCGGCTCGCATAACGGGTTGGATATCCATGTTAATAAAAAAACGTCTATTTTCACGAAGATCCTCGATTTGTGCAAAGCGTCGAAAAAACAAATAAAAGGAAGTAGCGATAACACTAGCATATTTTACATTATTTACCAGTTTACTCCTTCCGGTAAAAAACAAGTTTGTATAGATCTCATCTTTAGCTCGGTTTAGACCTATTTATAGGACCACATCTTTTATGTGCCCATGATGAAACATATGATTTATGGGGGCCGCTATTAAAAGCCTATAATTCTTTATTCTATTAAATTTAAATATCGAATATAAAAACGTTATTATTAAATATTTTTATTGGAATTTGAAGAAAAAAATATCTAAAGTTATCATATAAAATAACCACATTTAACATACTGTGTTAAAATAATTTCTAAAAATTAGATAATATATCTCTGTATGCATAATATACAAGTTAATATATCACATAAAATAAGTTACACATTACATTTAAAAGTATATAATATTTATTTATATGCAGTAACTACTGATCAACGTTATGAACGAAACAACTCACTATTAGAATTTTCGCCAGAATATTACCGGCGGACAATAAAAAAGTCAACTTCTGTTGACTTCCGACGAAAATCCGCCGGAAAAATTATTGTGGTAATAATCCAGCGGATATCATAATTAATTATTTTAGACTTGTATTTAAATCTAATTACAATAACTTACCTGCGGATTTCCGACGAATATCTAATTAACCTTTTAAAATTAAAATCCGCCGGAAAGTAATTAAATTTATTTTTATCATTTTCCGGCGGATACCGGCGGAAGCCGGAGGGCCGCCGGTAATATTTGTTCAAGATTTTATAAAAAAATCAAATATTTTCCGCCGGATATTTTTGTCTTTTTAATATTTTACAGATTTACAGGTTTTAAATACGGGTTTTTAAATATTAATTGTAAAAATAATCTAAAATTAAAATTTATATATTCTCTGACGAATTTCCAGCGGATGTATCTACCGGTAATTTTTAATTTTTTTTAAATTAATTTTTTTTCCGGCGGATAGTTTACCAGCGGATGTATCCGCCAGTAAACTAATTCATTTTTATAAAAAAAACTTAAATATTTTCTTAATTTAATCACAAATTTTTAAATAAATCTGTGAGAAGTTTCCAGCGGCCAGTGTCCACCGGAAAATGATAAAATCCGCCGGTGAATCCACCAAGAAATTAATCACCAGGACCAATCTTTCCGGCATCCATATCCGCCGGAAATAAAGATCTCCAATGAAAGCCGCCGGAAATAAAGTTCTCCAACGAAAGCCACCGGAAATAACGCAGTGTTTGGTAGTGACTATCGTGCATAATAGCACGGGCTCCCATTTTATTCCTCTGTCATAACATACAAAAAAAATTAGGATCGTGAAATGTGTCACTGTATTATTTTGTTGAGTGCAATCGTATATTTATTGAAACAACAATAATAACACAATTTTCTGTAAGTTGGTTTGTACGATTTTTCTCTGGACGGCTTTGAATCACATTTATATTACATATAAAAAGGTTAGAGTATATTTAACCATGTTTTTTGATGTCTTAACAATTGTTTTAAGACACTTTGAATTTAAGTGTGCAATTGATTTCTTATAGTAAAGTTTTGAGAAATGCATATGAAATCATTTTTCACAGGACACTTGTTTCTATAAAAAACAGTTTTTTAAATAATATGTCATATAAAAATTTAATAGAAGTCTTTATTTCAAATTTGTCATAAAAACCGTTTAGATGCTCAAAAGCAGCATATAAACTTATTGTAACACTTTTACGTAACTGATAGAAGTGTTTGGGCCGATAAACTTAAATCCTATAAAATATTTTACAATTTAATTTTCCAATTTTATTGTAGTATGATACATAAACTATGCTCTAGTAACCCAAGTTATACTCAAACATACATATTTGGTTTTTATGGTTGTCACTCACTTTCAAGTTTAGTCCTCGCTTTAAAGTAATTACAGTTTTAATTACTGAGGTTGTCATTTTGTTTCGCATTTGGTCCATATGGCTAATGGTGTTAACAAGGTCCGTTAGCTTGAGAAGATTTTGCTATTTTTCATTTATTTAATTTTATATCAAAAAGTTAAATAAAAATATTATTATATTACGTATATACAGCCTACCGCTTTTATTCTCTGACTGCAAACGTCGTCAACAACCATTTCGGTTTCGTCACTTGTTCATCCCCTTCTAAGACTCCGACCTCCTCTCTAGATCCGTGTTTTTTAATAGTCAAACAACATTTTCGACGACCTTTTCTCTTTGCACGACCATTTCCGGTGGTCTTTCCCCTTTCGTGTATACATGTGCACACACGCCCCAGATCTAGGTGTTTTTTTTTAAAATTTGCCAACAAATTAAAAACCGAAACAAAAAGATAGCTTCCTTTAATGTTGCACAGACACACACCATTAAAGAAAGCCTAAAAACTCTAGAAATACAACAATGAAAGAGAAACAAAACAAACCCAAGTTCTTTGTGTGTTTTACAGCTGTCTTTGTTTTTCACCTTAATACAACAAAACGAGATCTGTGATGGTGGTTCTACACGCACCATATCTTGTATACACACAACCATGATAATTCTGACATACAGATACAGAGATGGAGATGATCGATGAGTTGTGCAGGGAATATAAGGTGTTATAGGTGTTCACACACCCAAAGATAGAGGAAGAAGATGATGGTTTCACCGTTGCACGTTTCCAGAGCGTAGGGAAAGGATTTTTCTCAGAGCTTGATCGATAAGGGTCTTTGTAGTTATGGTGTGTAAAAGGAAAACGGCCCCAAAAAACCGTGTGCATACAAGAGGAATGGCTATCAAAAATGGTATGTGTGCAAGGAGAAAGAGACGTCGTAAATGTTGTTTGCCTATTAGAAACCCAGATCTAGGAAAGAGGTCGGAGTTGTAGAATTGTCGGAGAAGGAGAAGAACAAATGACAGAATCGACGAACCCATTGTGGCTGATCTACGAGGTTTATGGTTGGAGAAGAAAATGGGTGGGATGTGTATACGTAATATAATAATTTTCTTGTTTAATTCTAATAAGAATATAAATAAATGGGAAAAATAGCAAAATGCCTTGGGAGGACGTTAACACTATTAGCTACAGGGACCAAAAACGAAACAAAGTGGCAACCACAGTGATCAAAAGTATAATTAGTTTAAAGTAAGGACTAGACTTGATGATGACCGACAATCATAGAAACCAAAAGTGTAATTCACTCTACATTTTAACTGTCAAAAACTATTTCATAAAATGTATGGCAAAATCTCTCTTTTTTTTGGTCTCTTAGAAAGTTTGTAATTCAAAAAAGGATCACAAATGTTATGCTATGTTAAAAAAAAAAGTTCACATAGGACCGTGACGTATACTCGACAAGCATTGTGAGTCGCTTTTTGACCATTAACCTAGAACTGTCATTCAGTAACAAAATATGATCGTTTGACAAACTCATGGTTGAGACAAGATGGATCATTTTCGGCCATGAGATTGTTCATAATTGATTCTTTTTCTATTTTTGAGTTCAAAATGTAAGGGTGTGCATAAAATCAACCAATCCAATTGGAATCGACTGATTCAATTAGAACCGACCGACCATAATTGGATATCCAATATTGTAATTGGATCAGATCCGGTTGAAAATTTCAACATCCAATTTGGATCGGTCGATTCTCGGATGATAGTCCAGAAGCAACCAAAACCGCCGAACCGAACCTATCAACATCTAATTACCCATTCAATTAATCATCTGATAATCATCTAATTGTCCATTCAACCATTATCCAACTATCATCCAATTAATTTATTTTCAAATTGCTTAAATTGGAATTTATTTTATGTGAATGTTTGAATTTTTAACTTCCCTTGTGTTGGTTTTAACACATATGAAAAGTAATTAATCAATTTATATCATTGTTAGATAACTGGATTGAATTAACACACTAGATAGATCGAATTCCAACGGCTCATCCATTGGATATGCAATATAAGTATCAAATAGATGGAAACGAACCGATCTAATCATCCATTGGATTAGATTGGTTTGGATCGTTTATCCAATGTTAATCGGATCGGATTGGTTAGCAAAATCCAACATCCAATGGATGATTGGATCTGTTCGGTTCTCCTCACATCCAATGGATATCAACCGATGAACAGCCCTATCAAAATGAATACAGACAAATATTTTCCGACAAATTCTTTTCTCATCAACTTGTTTGGCAATTAATGACTCGCGATAAATCGAGACCATATGAAATTACCTGAATACACAAACAGATAAGTGATTCTCAAAAAATGAGAGGTCATGTTGTATGATGTTGATAACTTTGTTTAAGCTTTTCTTAGCCTATAATCTATAATTTACAAGACACTTGAAAACTTATAAACATTAATTTATGCAAATAATTAATTAAAAAAACATATATGTCAAAAAATAAATCATTTAGAAAATGGAAATAACTTTTTGAATGGTTGAAAGTCAAAAGTCTTCTTCTACCACTTCTAGTCATCAATGGGGTTTTAAGTCACGGTGGTTGTAATATTTTTTTATAATATTTAAAGGGTATTCGTATAATGCAGCGAGATATATTTTGATTTTAATATTTTATTTTATTTTTTATCTCAGTCGATGTTATAATATGGTGTTATGTGATTTTAAGAAAACGATTATGTTTTTATTTTTGAATAAAATATAAATTTGAAGATATCATAAAATTTTGATAAAAATATATCGATATTAATATCCAATTAACTATTTAAATTTCTCATTTTGTGTGTAATTTTTTAATTCATTTTTTTATTATAATTTAATTTGTGTGCAATAACGGAATAATTTATATTTGGTTTAATAATATAATTTTCTTATAAAGATAATAATTAAGTATTCTGTTAGAACTCGATAATTATCTTAATTATATCTTAGATTTTTTATATTTTAAAATGAGATATTTATCCTCTATTTGATTATGTTTATCCGCAGTTAGTTACACGAATTCAAACATCGAGCTTTAATAAGTTGTATTTATGCATATTTTACTTGTAATCTTGAATTTTAAGTAATATGCATCAATATACAGTACTTTATGCATAAAAAATGGTTTTTAAGAGTTTTTGTCAAATGTTTTATAATATAGTATAGATTATATCATTTTCAACATAAGACTAAAAACATAAATAAATAAATAAATATATATATATATATATATTATTTTATTATTATTAAAATACTAAAGATGTTTTCTAGTGTTTTTTTAGTATATGGTTGGAGTTGGTTTTTTTAGTGTTCAAAGAAACCATCATTTTTAGTGTTTTTAGCGTCTTTTTTTTTAGTGGTTGGTTGGATTGGGTTGTAAATTATATACGAGACGTTATGGAACATGCATGGTAGAGTGATGTACACGATTAAAGAATATGAAAGGTTTTAAGATTTTAAACTGATATGTGTAGTTTAGTAAATACCAAATCTTATTGCATCTCTATGGTATTTGTTGTAATTATTTTAGTTTTTGTCGAACTCAGTTATGTCTTGTACCAATTTCATGTCGAGCCAAATATGGGCCAACAAGTTTTTGTTTTCATGTCTTGTCTTGTCTCACGTACAAAGCACATACTAAGAGAAGTGAGAGAGATTCATATGTATACTATACATATAGGTGTGTTAGTTCGTGATTTGTATATATGAGACTCCAACATGCACTCTTAAGCAGTAGCTAGCTAGATTAGATTGGGTATCCAGTCCCTAGATTGAGGTTAGTAGAGGGGTTCATGTCCACCTCCAGCAAAATTCAAACTTGAACCTATTGTATATTTGACCAAAGTCGTGCCCTCCCTTTACCAACTGAGCTACATGACCAATGGCATATTTCACTTATTTTCAACTAAGATATTGTGGGGGAGGGGTTATTTTTGTTTTAAATATAAGATTGTAACAGTCTCTTTAACAGGGACGTACCCGCAGTGGTACCACCAGTGGCACGTGCCATCGTATTATTCCTCTGTCGAAGGGTAAAAAAGTTTAGGTTCGTGAAAAGTGCAACCGTATTAATTTGTTGTGTATTACTATATGTACTTTGAAACTACAATGAGAACAAGTTTTATTAGTAAAGTTGGTTTGCAAAGCTTTTATTCCACCGTAGACCTGAGTTTGAATCATGTTAGTGTCATTTTCTTAGTCAAATGTTGTCATCATTTGAAAAAAAAAATCTATATTTGTTTCTTATATTCAAATAATGCCACCTTTGAAAAAAAATTCCCTATGTTTGTTTCTTATAGTCAAATGGTGTTACCGTTTGGAAAAAAAAATTATATATTTGTTTCTTATAGTCAAATAGTGTCATCATTTGAAAAAAGTTCTTAATCCATCCCTGCTTTTTAATCACATCAGCGTGAGATATGTATTCATGTTTCCAACCTTCAGAATACTTCCACTTAAACTGTTACATATACATACATACATACATACATACATACATACATACACATGCACATGCACACGCACACGCACACGCACACGCATAGGGGTGGGTTCAAATAAAAACCACTCAATTTGTAAAAACCGTGAAAACCTTATTCAACCAATCATAATTTTTCATTTTGTTCATTTTTTTGTAATTATGAGAGGCTGATTAACTATTTTTATTGTGGAGGGTGTTAATCATGGATATTATCATCTTCATTATTTTAATTTTAGAGAAATACATGAAACAGTTTCATTAAAATTTCATTAAATAGTATATGAAACAATTTCATAACCACATATGAAACAACTTCATCAAAAAAAGTATTATATGAAACAATTTCACAAGGTTAACAATTTCATGAAAAAATTTTATAAGATTAACGACGGATGAGAGTAGTTTTTACGGTTTTTACAAATTGAAGTGGTTTTCATTTGATCGCTCCTCTACATACATATATATATATAGAGAGAGAGAGAGATAGATATTCTTAGAAGAGTAATAGTTTTTGAAATTATTTATAGTTGGACTGAATCGGGGATAAGTTATAGTGGACATGTGCCAAACTTTGTAATGAATAGGTGCAATTACGATGGATCGGTCAAAAAATATTCATAATGGTCTCTTATTCTATATGCAGCATCAATTGAATATATTTACTAATCATATACAATATTACTCCGGTTGATTAGTGCGACTAGCTCGTAACTCTATAAAACCTAAAGAGCTGAACAATCATGAAAAATAAATATAAAAATATAAATTTATTGTTGCTAAATAGAAAAGAATATAATGACCATTTTTCTGTGTAGTTTGTTTCATTCCAATTTCTGATATAAAATGTTTGGTTCCCATTGTCTCAAAGATATCTAGTAGCATGATAGTTTATGCATACTATCTTAATATTGTAACCCACAAGGAAAGGAATGAAATCAGCAAAAACCATAGGTTTGGTGCTTGTAATCCTTGTCTCTGTGACCATCGTTGTTGCAGCCACTTGGATCCTCGTGTCAAGAAACCACATATGCAAGATCAAGAATTCTTTAGCCGACTCAAACCCTAGCTCTAGGGGGACAATTTTTATCTTCTAAAAGCAATATCGAATCATAAGAGGAAAACACAACCAAAAAGAGCCCAGATACTGTAAAATTTAAAAAAGAATGCAGCGAATTCTTCTTCTTATTCTTCTTAATATAAGTTTAAGCTGGACCAAATTGCTGATGATTTGATTCAAATTCAATATCATACCGTTTGTTCAAAAAGTACTTGTTTTTGCTTTCTGTGTATTTTTGAGTTGTGACCACCTATTCCTCCTTATCATTTTGTTTAATTTCATTCTAATTTGATTATTTCATAAAGATCATTAGGCAAAAAAAACTACAAATACATAAAAATATAAGAGAAATTGATTTTGTTTTTAGCTTCTAAAAGCGATATGGAATCATAAGGGAAAAACACAACCAAAAAGAGTCCATATACTGTGAAATTTAAAAAAGAACACAGCGAACAGAGAGAAAAAGATCGGTTTTAGAGGACCTATGTGAGCGTCCTGAAAATAGAATTGGGTTAAGTTGATCCACCAACACCCACAAGGAAAGGATTCAAATCAGCAAAAACCATAGATTTGATGGTTGTAATCCTTGTCTATGTGACCATTGTTGTTGCTGCCACTTGGAGTTTCATGTCAGGCAACCACATATACATGATCAAGAATTCTTTAGCCGACTCAAACCCTTGCTCCAAGGGGACGATTTCTCGTACCCATGGACCAAGTTGAAGATGAGAGAACAAAAAAAACCTAGGTTTTGGATGAGAGGCTGAATGGGAACGAAAAATAGAACTGAGGAATATGAAAGAGTTTTAAGAGAATATCAAATCAAAAGTAAATGTTGAGTTGAGAAAATGAGAGAAAATATAAATTCAATTCCAGTCCTTAGAAGAGGTCACGTCATCAGACGTGGTTTCTTCTTTAATATATATATATATATATATATATAAATTATAAAAAAATTCAAATATAATTTATTAATTTTCACTTTTCTACATTGATTTTAATTTAAACATATTAATCATATTTTTTAGTTTTAATTAAAACTTATCAATATAAATTTAATGCTATATGAAAAATAATTAAAACATAATAATATAATGACATAATTATAAATACTTGTATAAAAATTTACAAGAAAAAAAAATAAAAAAAAGTATTCTAATAATAACTATTTTAGATTTTTTAATATTCATTCAACTTATATGTTTATAATAATGTTAAAAAAATAAATATTGGTTAAGAAATAATAAATAAAAAATAATAGCAGAATAGGAATGTATATAAAAACATGGATTTTTGTTTAACGATCTGGATTCTAATAAAAACCTGTATCCCATTATCGAGTTTCTTGTAAAAATCATTAAAAATAACTTCAACAAGTAACTTCATTGTAGATGTGCTAATATTGTCAATAATGCCCCATCACGAGTAGCTTAATATTCTTATTTTGATTCTACAAATGCACCAATTATTCCCAAACAAAGAGGGTATATAAGTAATTAACCAATATCAACCAACAAAAATTCATGATACATATTTTCGACCAAAAAGAAATAATGGGAGACTTTGGAGGAGACTTCCCCACTATAAATATCCCTTTTCAACTTCCACTCTCAACGCACCACAAAAACAAAATGAAAACAATCCTTCTGTTGGTCGGAATATTCCTTGCCGGAATCCTCCTCCCGGAGCCGGTTACATCACAGAATTGTAAATGTGCTCGGAACTTGTGTTGTAGCAAGTATGGTTTCTGTGGAACCGGACCCGCATATTGTGGAAAAGACTGTCGAGGTGGCCCATGTTCTCAACCGGCTCCTCCAAATAATGCCAATGTCCCTAGTCTAGTGACGCCTGCATTTTTTAACGGGATCGTTGCCAAGTCTGCACGCAATTGTCCCGGGAGAGGTTTTTATACACGGGCTGCCTTTCTTAATGCCATCAAAGGCTACCCACGTTTTGGTAGATCTGGTTCGATCGCAGATTCGAAACGCGAAATCGCGGCTTTCTTTGCTCATGTTAGTCATGAGACTAGAAGTAAGTACGTTATTAAGGGTTGGACAGGCCAATACTAGATTATTTTTGGACAACATATGTACGTCCATTAATTTTAACGTGACGATTTTGTCCCACCCATTTTTTCAAGAATGATCCAAATCCTGCTTTTCTAGCAATTCATGCGATCAGGGTTTAATAGTTATCCTATACATGAATATTTTTAAACCAAACATGTGACACTTTCCAATAAAACGTGTGTAATGTTAATTTTGACTTTTTCTTATATGGATTCGCAGACTTTTGTTATAAAGAAGAAATAAATGGTCGTTCAAGAAACTACTGTGATAGGACCAACACTCAATATCGTTGCAACCCTAAAAAGAGTTATTATGGAAGAGGACCGATCCAACTTGCATGGAATTATAACTACGGTGCAGCCGGCAAGAGCCTTGGGTTCGACGGACTCAACAACCCCGAGATCGTGGCTAGAGACCCAGTGGTTTCATTCAAGACCGCCTTGTGGTTTTGGATGGAGAACTGTCATTGGGATTTCGCTTCTGGTAAGGGGTTCGGAGCTACAATCCGAGCCATCAATGGAAAGGAATGTGGCCGCGGGAACCCGAGGGCCGTGACCTCTCGTGTCACATATTACATTGCTTACTGTAAGCAATTTGGTGTTAAAACTGGCAATCAACTTAGATGCTAGACTCTGGTCGTATTAATACCATGTGAAAACCGACACCAGGCTTATAGGGTTTTTCGTTAATGAAAACCATCTCCTAGTTGGCCTATATCGTGTTTCATCAAAAGGCTATGAGTTTAATCGTTTTTAATAATTGTTATATATAACAATAAATGTTTTCAGACTGATAAATAAATATTTTGCTTTCATATTTGATGGTTAAGAATGTTACCTGATAAGATAAGAGTGATAAGATTTGTTACACATATCGAGAAAAAAAGCTTCCTTACAAACTTACATTAGATAGTAATTAATGCAAACTTTATTAAATTATGATGCATTTTGATCATCAAAATATGTTGTTAATTTTGACTTTTTGTGCATCGATCCACAAAGTTTTGTTATACACAAGAAATGGATGGTCCTTTAGAGCTAGAGAATACTGCAATACGACCAACACCCAATATCCATGCAACTCAAACAAGGGTTATTATGGGAGAGGTATGATCCAACTCTCATGGAACTACAACTATGGTGAAGCTGAAGAGAGCCACGGTTCGATTGACTCAATGCCCTTGAGATAGGGGATAGAGACCAAATGGTTTAGTTTAAGAACACCTTGTGGCGACAAATATGTATATCATAAATACTAATATATATATATATATATATATATATAGGGTTGGGTTTACGTGAGACCAACCTGTTTTCGTTAGATCTTTTTTACACTTGAAATTTCACTGCAAAACGTTGTGAAAGTTAGAAAAAGCAGACTTTTCATAGCAAAAACACTGTTAAGGTTACCTTCACAACATCTTGCTGTGAAGTTTCAATTGTAAAAAAGTGGTCTTACGGGTCTCACGAAAACAAGTTGGTCTGACGTGATTCCAAGTATATATATAGGGACTCATTCAAGGGAAAACTGATTAGTTTGTGGTAACTGTGAGATCCAATCTCAACCACAAATCAACGGATAAATTAGAAAATTAATAATTATGGTAGTTTGAGTTAAAACTATAATTAGAAGGCATTTTAGGTATTTTTAAAAAAACTCATATTTCCTCTCTTATCTCTCCTCTCTCTGACCTCCGATCTCCGGCCTCCGGTGAACATTAATCCGGCAAGTACCAAGTAATCACAAAGATACACAATGTGATACTCATTGTGATATACTGTGATACCATTGTGATACCAACTACGATACCAACTCAAACATTAAAAACAAAGATACACAATGTGACACCCATTGTGATATATTGTGATACCGATTTCATCGGAGACCGGAGATTGGAGGTCGGAGAGATGAGAGAGGAGAGAGAAGTTTTTTAAAAATACCTAATATGCCCTCTAATTATAATTTTACTCAAACTACCATAATTATTAATTTTCTAATTTATCCGTTGATTTGTGGTTGAGATTGGACCTCACAGTTATCACAAATTAATCAGTTCTCATTTGATTAGGCCTATATATATATAGGGGTTCATTGAAGGGAGAATTGACTAGTTTGTAGTAACCGTAAGATCCAATCTCAATCACAAATCAATAGATAAATTAGGAAATTTATAATTTTGGTAATTTTAAATTAAAATTTTAATGCAAGAACATTTTAGGTATTTTCTCTCCTCTCTCGTCTCTCCTCTCTCCGTCCCCCGTAATCCAGCCTTTGGCCACCGTTGTCAGGTGATACTACTGTGATACCTAAAATTATTGACTATGTTAAATAAAAGACACAGTGTGATATCCAATCACATATAATATGCATTATGATACAACTGTGTTACATATCCGACCGACCACACAAACAACCTCAGTGTGATACCCAAGCACATATAAGATGCACTGTAATACCACTGTGGTATCACCGAACGACGGTGGCCGGGGACGGAGAGAGATGAGAGAAAATACCTAAAATGTCATTGCATTAAAATTTTAATCTAAATTACCAATATAATAAATTTCTTAATTTATCTATTGATTTATGGTTGAGATTGGATCTCATGGTTACCACAAACTAATTAGTTCTCATTTGATTAAACTCATATGCATACATATATGTACGTGTTTTCTATGATTAGCTAGTGAATCAATGATACTGAACTTTTTTAAATAAGGATATATACTAAATATATACTTAAAGATAAGACAATAAAAAACGTCTTTCAAAAACTATCTATTGAGTCATGACATGCCATGGATATGATATGACGTATGAGACAAGCTTTGAGTCATTTTTCTTTGTTTGCAAATATCATGAAAACCATTAATTGTTGCCACTCATCCTTCACTCTAATTTGCACTATCATTTCAAGTGCTTCACATCTCTTCTTCTACATCAACTTTCTCCATATAATTAAATTTTAATTTTAATAAAATTTGGTTTATAACACACCAAAAATTTATAAGTATTGTAATCCAATAATTGGTTGGTTTATAGAACTTAAGTTTATAGGAACAAACAATTGTGTTTATACCATGCTTTTAAATATCTTAACAAAATATTTAAGACGTTTTGAAATAAAATGTTCCATTATTTTTTTACAGAACGTTCTTGAAGAGTGTCTTTTGAACATTTTTATAAAACACTTAGTTTGTTTGTATCACACACTTTTCTTCAAATGAGGTCATATAAAATTAAAAACTAAATGGACACTTTATTTCAAAATTGTTCGAAAATTTTTGTTAAGACGTTTAAAAACGTCTTATAAACTATAAATTTATTGTAACATTGTTTATACTGGATATAAATTTAAGTCCTCTAAAATGGTTTAATCATTACTCAAATGTATATATGTCATGCAACTAATCTTATTTTAGTCGGAATTTAGACAAATACCTTATGCATTTGCGTCATATTAGAAAAAACAAAAAAAATCTTTATCTAGATTTGTATAAAGATCCATATTTGCATTAAAATCTTCATTTACGTAAAAAAAATCTGAATATACATTTTACGCGAATGCATAAAATATTAGGGTAACTCTAATGAAAATAATGAAAAAAGTCTGGAAAAAAAACCAATGGACTTTCATATTTTGAATGATTAAATCCCTAAATATTTTTTGAACCAAAAGAGTACTTGGATCTATAAAAATAAACAAATATACCAAAAAATTACTTACATTTACGAAAATATACTTACATTTAAAAAAGATTATTGATAAAATTTATTTTAATTAAAAATAAAATATATTTTCTCAATGATTT